TGCAGCTGTTTGTGGGCCACAGGACGAGAGCCAATGTGGGCCCAGGCCCGTTGGGGGCCCGATTAGGCCCGAGAGCTTCGAGGAGCAGATGATGCTGGCAATGGCTGTATCAGTGACCGACACCCGAGCGAGGAACTCTCCACCTGGCGTTGCTTGGCAGTAGCTTTTCTTCAGATGAGGTTCGGTTAAAATCTTTGCTTCCCTTAAATACAAAATGAAAGTTAGTGTTGAGTGGGCAAAAATGCATTTTTAGCCCTGTTGGAGATTTAACATCATAGCAATTTATTCCAAGATTTCAACTTTTCGTCTTTTGGTCTTGTGATTTAATATTTTGTTGCAATTTCAGTCCTTTGCTAATCGAAAAATCAGAAAATTTGGAAATTTCATCCACTTTCAGTCTTCAAAAGACTGAAATTGCAGCAACATATTAAATGACAAGACCAAAAAGCGAAATGTTGGAACACCTTGAGACTAAAATTGTTATGGCGTAGAACCAGTAGGACTAAAAATGAAATTTTGCCGTGTTGAGTATTTGTAGTTAAGTTGAAGCTAAAGGTCTTTTTTTGGAGTTAGCAGAAGTGAAAACAAACCAAAAGCAGAACAGAAGAGAAGCTACATAAAAATATTCTCTTACCTTCAAAATCAAAAACAGAATTTGGTCCGTAAATGTTGTTTGCTAATGCATTCGTAAACTTTCTAGGTATTTTTCCGATGGGAGTCGGTGCACAGTTACTATTGTGTACCTAGGCATGACGGGATTTATCTTCTTATGGCCAGCCCTCGTTGGCTTTGCATGGACGATTTCGAACATGGGACATTAGTTTCTTTTTTATACGTAGAATACAGAAAATCATTTCTCTGGAATCACGATGTTCGTTTGTGTTCGGCAGTTTGAGGCCTCAAATGACATACAGATAATCGCGCAAAGTCGTTCGTCGGCCTTTTGTCGTAGAACGTGTCTTAGGGCTAAAGGTGGTATTTATTGTAATTTGTAAGTGCATGAAAGCCTGTATATAAATGTAATGGCTTTTGATAGTTTTGATACCGTGGATTGTGTTGGCAAAGTGAACTTCCATTTTTGCACTGAAGAACCTTTCTCTCTTCGCCCTCTATGTGATCTAAATGACTAGATTCTGCCCATTACATAGAGTTGTTAAATGAAATTGAGTTGGTCGTAGGCTGTAACAAGGCGAGCTCGTTTAAAGCTTGTTTAGCTAATGAATCGAACTTAAGGCTCGTTTTAAGGATATAATAATTATTAGTATTGAACAAGTGTTCATTAATATAATAATAACTAAATAAATCTTACTCCAGTACTCTCTCTCTCTCTCTCTCTTAATTTTTTAATTTTTTAATTTTATATTTTTAACTTCACCCGACTAAATTGTCATGGAAGGCCATAACGTCACCTACCCCTTTCTTGTCGGTTAGCTGAAATATTTCACTCTTTTAAATTTATATAAAAATTATTAACGATTCGTTACACTTTTAAATAGTTACATCATCTATTTATCTTGTTTATTAAAGTATGTATTTTTTTTAACTATTATATCGAGACACGTTAATCTCTTATTTAAACTAGTTAGCAGGAGAGTGGACTCCCAATTCATGTACTCATAAAACCGTGCCAGCGTAAATTATGGACCTTTTACAAGCCTCCCATGTGAACTTTCGATTACTAGCTAGTCACGGTATTCGGAAGTAAGTCACGACAAATTCGTTGGTCGACCCAGATCGCACACCTAGCAGTGGTAGGTGAGTCTCCCAACAAGGACTTTTTGCATCGACAAGGATTTAAACCCGATATCTTGTTCAAGCGACATCAAGCTGCTTTAATAATTTATAAGTTACTGAGTCAATATTTCTCTCGAGATTGATTTTTATTTTATTTTATTTTTCTTGGGGTCTACACTGAAGTGGCAAGAGTCGGCCCGACTCAGCCCGCCAAAATCGATCCGGAACTGTCCTGAATCGGTCCGGACCTACGGGTCTTGGAAACTGACGAGTGATAAAATCGGGTTGGTTCTGGGTTTTAGTTTTTTTTTTCTAAACACCTCGGTTTCGAGCCGAAAGATTGTTTATTAATTTTTTTTTTTAATTTTAATTTTTTTCTAAAAAAACTGGCGGTTAAATGAACTGCAAGGTCGAATTGGCCTTTTAGACCGGGCAGGTTCAGGCAGGGGCGGATTTACATACCGTTGACAAATCAATAGATATTATTACATATATAATTTGGATGTTGTGTCGAAAATTATTAAATGACGATTAATTTAGTGTGTTATC